CTTCCTCCATTGCATTAATTATCTTTGCAAAGGGTCTCCTTAAAAGTTGCTGTAACTCCTTGACCCATTAGTTGGATCAAAAAGATAATGTGTAGAGGGATAAAAACCACTTGGATATTGGGATAAAGATCCTCAATAAAAGGAAAATGTGCTTATTGTCAACAATAAGCACAATCTTGAAAAGCATGCTATTCTACAACAGCACTTCTTAATTTCGCTCGCAGAGCTATTCAGGAGGACATCTTGGAGGAGGAACTGGGTCACGTTTGACTTCTTATCCTTCTGTAGTAAATTGGCAGTATGTGCTCATTGATATGAGTGAGAGACCTGGGGTTCTCACTATGCCTGATCACAAAGGGTGTCGATTTGTAGCCTGCAACATTGTCCCAGAGCAAGACTATTATCATGTCCTTAAAAGCCTTGAAACCGCCCTGGCCGGTTTGGCTCAGCGGTTAGAGCGTCGGCCTGCGGTCCTGAGAGACCCGGGTTCGGTTCCCGCTATGGGCATGTACCTCGGTTGCAGTTTGTCCCTGGCCCTGGTTGGTCGTGCGGGTGGCAGCCACTCGATGTGTCCCTTTCACATCGATGTTTCCCTCTCTCTCTCTTCCTCTCTCTCCCTCCCACTCTGTCTGTACAAAAAATGGAAAAATGTCCTCGGATGAGGATTAAAAAATAATAATAATAAAAAGCCTTGAAACCTGGTATTGGCTTGGCCTCCTTATGAATAAAAGCCCTTTTATACATCCATTTTTGGAATAGGGAAGTTTCATCCATATTGAATATTTGCTCTGGCAAGTAATTTTCCTCCACAGTCAACTTATCTGGAGTTTCCAAACATTCTTCAGCTGCCTTCACATCAGCACTCGCAGACTCACCACTCACTTGCACATTATGTAATAAATAATGATTCTTGAACAGCTTAATCTACCCAGAGCTAGCAGTAAATTCAATCTCATAGTCAGGTCCAGTCTTCTCTTTCAACAAACTTTGCTTTGGCTGTGATCATCACAGTGTGTACAGAGACACGCTTTTGTGTCTAGTCTTCAATCTCAGTCATTAGAAGTTTCTCCATGTCTGATATATCCTCTTTTGAACTTTTGTGAGTCCCATTGCCTTCAATGAAGTAGATCCTTTGATAGCTTCCAAGACTTTATTTTCTTGTTCTTCAATATTGTAGCTATGGTGGAATAGGACATGCCTGACAGGCGAGCAGTAACCATCACTGATTTTCCACTGGGGTAGTCCTTATTCACTACTAATTTCATTTCTATGTCAGTCACTCAATGTGGCCTCTTACTGGCAACATTAGCTGTGGATCTTTTATGTTTAGAGGTTATGATGAACAAAACAACATGAGATGAAATCAAGCACAAAAGAAAATGATGCATTCAAGAGACTCCATAAACATGAGATGGATGAGGCTGCTGTCAGTGTAACATGACAATTGTTTAGAGCAAACTTTTTTGTATAAGTAAAAACAACAATAAAAAGTATAGTGTAGTAAATACATAAACCAGCAGCATAGTCATTTATTGTCATTATCAAGTATTGTGTAATGTACATAATTGTAAGTTATATACTTTCCATGACCAGCAGCACCATAGGTTTCTTCACACCAGCATCACCACAGACATGAGTATGATGTTGCAATGGCTACAACATCACTAGGCAATAGGAATTTTTCAGCTCCATTATAAACTTTCATATATGTGGTCCATTGTTGACTGAAACATTGTTATGGAGCACATAACTATATTTATCTACTGTTTTTAGATAAGCAGTGTTTATACAAACCTCTTTTAACTGATTACAAATGTATCAGTAACGTATTATGATCCCATTTTAGAGGTAATTAAACTGAGGCTAGCTGGCCGGTGTGGCTCAGTGGTTGAGTGTTGACCCATGCACCATAAACCAAGAGGTCACTGGTTCAATTCCTGGTCAGGGCACATGCCCAGGTTGTGGGCCAAATCCCCAGTGGGGGCATGCAGGAGGCAGCCAATTGATGTTCTTTCTCATTGATGTTTCTATCTCTCTCTCCTTCTCCCTTCCTCTCTCTCTAAAATCAATAAAGAAAAAATATATTTAAAAAAACCTGAGGCTAAAAGAAGGTGCTTGAATGACAACGGTCAGACATTCTGGAGCATTGTACTCAGACATTTTTCATGAAAAAAATTTTACTTATAGCTTAGCAGTTAATAAGTTTATGTTTAATCAAATCTTCTCACTTAGAGGGGAAGGAAGGAACTAAAGTTAGTAAGTCTTTTTGCTTTTATATGTAGTATCTAATTTAATTCTTTCCCTATCACTATGAAGTAGACTAATTTTCCTCACTTTATAAATTATGAAACAGCTTTATAAAAGTTAAATTAGTTGCCAAGGACAGAGAAAACACTAAAAAATCTTCCCTTGCCTTGTATTACATTCAGGCTGTCTCTATAAACAATTGAGTCAAGTTGGAACTAGAGAACCCTTAGGGTCAATTAAAATTTTTGGCTTTTTAGATTAAAACATAGTTCATGATGTTTTTGGAAAAACTTTCAAAAGAATATTCTAAATTTTTAAAATACACATTTTGGAACATTGATGCATTTATTGTAGTATAATGACTTAAGCATACTTATATATTTAAGTTTAAAAATAGAAAATTTACATATAACCTGATAAATAATAAATCCATTTGATAAATAAATTTTTGTTCATAAAAGTAGGAAAAGGTTTTACTTATGTGTTCTAGAATTAGAATGAAATAAAAGTTAATTTTAGTAACTGATATTTAGCCAGTACTATGCTCTTAGTCATTTAAAATTTTAAATTTACCATAACTAAAGACAATGGTGCCAGTGAAAATAAAGATTTACAGACAATTAAAATCTTGGTGGAAACCTTAGTAAAAGGCAATTTCCATTTTTTATGTCTCTTATGAGTCCTTAAATGACCAAATATTTAGTTAGAATACTTAAGTGTGGGATTAAAGAAGAAAAGATTAACAAGAGCAAATAAAGTCTATGACTATGAGAGCACAGAGCCCATTGGAAAATAGGACAATAGGCTTACATTAGAATAGCAAGTCCTGTAGTTAAATCAGAATTTATTTTAGGACTCTATCATTAAAAAGAAAATAAATACTTAGAGGCCTGAAATATTAGATAATTTGTCTCTATTTTTTTTTTTTTTTAATATGTTATATAACAGAATAGGCGCCTACTTTTCTTATACCCTGGGTGCATGTTATGGGTAGCATCTATCGGGAGTGCCATCATAATTGTTCAATAAATGTTTCTCGAATTGAACAGATGTTTGCTTGCCCGATGTTGCATCCAAACTCCAAACCTAGCCAGGAATTTTAATTTTGAAGTCATCCCCCAGCTTCTAAAAGTTTAAAGTCACATTTATTAGACAAATACTCAGAGAAGAAGTGAAATTATGATAAGTAGGCAGACATACGAGCTCTGTGAGAATCACCAGGGCCTGATATTTCTAACATCATGAAAAAAACAGAACTACTTAACTCCATGTGCTTTAAGTCTCAGTATGATAAGAAAAATATGTTTTCAATCTTTCCCCAAATGTATTCAGTTCAATATGAGAATAGATATGTCTCATATTAATACTTAATTTCTAAATACTCATGAGCTCTATTAAAATTCTCTGGCAAAACCTGACCATGCCTTCCTTCCAGTGGACTTTAACTCAGGGTTTTGGCAGGCTCAGAGTCATTAGCAGGTTTTTTCCTTCCCAGTCACATTTCTGAGTACACCCAAACAGAGCTCTGGGAACTCACTGTTTAAAAATATTCTTTACGGAGAATGTGTAGGGTTTGTTTTGACTATCTAAAGGAGATAATACTCAAGGTAATGGAGTATAATAGAGAAATGTGAAAAGTCTTTAAAACAAGATCACTTAATATGGGGCTATCCTCTCCATTCATATCTATACATGAAAGTATGAAATTGAACTAATTTTTCAGAGAGCTCAAGTTCACTGTTGAATTAAAGGCGCCTCCACTTTATGTCTAGTGCATATGCACACTGAACCATGGCACGCGGGGCCACATCAGCCCCTGCTTAATGGCAGTGATAACTCTCAGATGGAGGTGGTGCTCTCTTTCACTCATCACCACTTACCATTCCATCTTCACTCAAGAAAGGCTGCTTAGCAAGCAGAACTGCAGAAGGTGACCTTACGCTCCAAACTGTGAAGAGCTCCTTAAGGCTCAGGAGAGGCTCTGCTTGAAGGGGATAAGGACACACAGAGGCACTGATGCAATGACTGTTGGGTGGATGGATGGACAGACGGAAGAATGTCTTCTAAAGAGACATGGGCCTGCAATATGTCCAATGGTTAAATGGCTCCAGGTATTCTAATGATACTAGAAATTTGTACTTCACGGTCACAAAGACACCCCAGAATAAATATGCTTAGCTGCTCTGGTTAGGTCTTTTCCACACACAACAAGCATCAGTGATAAAGACTTCATAAGGTCTTAATAAAGACTTTTAATAACAACACTTCTTTCCCCCTAATAGTTTTGGGGAACTTCTATATTGCCTTTTCAGGTAACTCTTCCCTCTCCCTCATCCACAAAAGAAATTATTCATATTAGCTTTAAAATGGGAACCCTCCCTGTCACTGTGAACTAAACTCCAACAGTGGCTAGTTTCTGACCTCTATAATTAAGTGTCTAAAACCAAAACACTAACTACTTAGTTGTGAGAGTATCACAAATTTTATCTAAGACTAAAAGGACCGAGAAAGAAGGAACTGGATGATTCTTTTAGAAAGATATTGTGAATTCACAAATCCAGGCTTATGAAAACACGCTCTGAAGTTAAAACTATGAAAATATTGTCAGTGCAAACTTCATAAGATACTGCCAAAAATAAAGTTCTTTTGCTGCTTTTATACAACAATGAATGCAACATAAGTTAGATTGAATATTTACTTGCTCCATATTAAATAAAATATTTACTATCCCAAAGTGAGAAAGAAATTCTTACCACCTTCTTTAGTGAAAAGGTTGACGAGGTTGTGCACTGTGTCCGTCAGCTCCAGCTGCTGCTTCTGAAGGGCACTGTTGTTGGTAGTAGCTCTGTTCAGCTGCTTCCCTAGCTCCTGGATGATATACGTTTGACGAGTAACCAAGCCTTGGAGCGTCTCTTTCTCTTCCTTTAAGGTGTCCAATTCTTCCTTGTGTTTTCCCTCCAATTCTAAGATTTTATGTTCTAATAAACTACAAGGAAATGAAGATACATTTTAGTTTTTAAAATGCCATAAAAAATGGTGATTCCACTAGTTCCTGAGTATGTTTGAAGTTAGAAATTGCAATTAGATATTTCACCATAGAAACATTTTGTGAGAGATTCAGGATATACATGCATGTATATGAAACAGAAGTGACACAGATAAAATGTCAAATGAAGAATTATTAGACCAGTTATTGTCAGAAAAGTTTTTGTTTCCTAAATATAATTTATATCCTGGAGTATATCTTATATCCAGGGTAGCTGACTTGGACCCAAACAAGTACAGTCTGGACATGTAGTTTAACTTTCATTAAGACAATAAGTCTAATAAGAGATTTAAAAAAAAAAAAGAATGAAACAAAATATAGAAACTATTTTTATTTACTGCGCTCCATTCATTTGGGATTCTTAAAACATTAACAGCTATTAAATTCCTCAATTGTTCTGTGGGGTCAGGGAATAGTATTTCAACACAGAAACCTCACAAGCAGAGACTAAGCTATGTAAAATCGCAATGATTAGATTTCTTGGGATTGTTGATACCTGCTCTGCTATCATAACCACTAACTTACTTTATCTCTCAACCTAAGGTTCACAATGAGGCCTAAAACCACCATGAATTCCAAAATCACTGCACACATCCTTCCAAACAGAAAGACCGCAGGCTGGAGGCATGGTCTCAGAACAGGAACTGAGAGGCTTTGCCCAGGGAGATGCAGTCCCCCGCTGAGAACCGTCCTCGCAGGCTCTTCAAAGGACACTCCCCTTGCAGACTGCACATTGAAAATGACAGTGAGTGCAGAAGCACGCTTGGATCCTAGCAACTGACTGGAAATAAAAACCATTTGCCTTTTATTGAGTGTATAATGCACTGGTATTCCTCAGAGGGGAGCCTGATTCCGTCTTCTCAGTTCCGTTTTCAGAAGGCTCTACCAGTTGTTAGTTTACAAGGTGTTATTCAAATGTAACATACCAGACTGGGCACTTAATTTACCTTGGAGAAATAGAACACTGAATCATTTTTATAAGTTTTCATAAAAGGGACACTAGGGAGTGTTTTAAATTTAATACTTAAATAATAAAATAGAGCATGTTTGAAGAGCCGAATTTTCCAACTCGGTGTACTGGAAGACGAGCTGGAATATCTATCTGATTATCTTTCACACAGATTAAGTGTGAAGAGAGCTGCTCATGGGTCTTTCAGGTCTTTGCCAACAAATCTGTCCTCGAAGAGAATGTGACCCAGACCATGGCAGGAAAGCTGCCTGTTGAACCAAGCCTGAGAACACCTGGATGCTGCTGAGTATAAGGCCCTATTAGTTTACGGCACCTTTGGTCCCATGCCCAGATTCCCAGCAGAGAATTTCATACTGAGACCTGGCCAGGGCAGCTCCGTGACTTCGGGCGCTAAGCAAAGCCAGGCCTCTATTTTGAGTCGCTCTGGTTCTATAGGACACCAGCGGTGAGGAGCAGCTCTGCCCTGACGGATCCTAAAGCGAATTCAATGCAGTGACATGGGGGAAATGTGATGATCATTAGTATCTTTTAAAGTTGTTGTTTTTTTTTTTTGAGAAATGAAAAATTTACACAAGGAAGTCAAAGTAAGATGAAAGTATCTCTAAGGAGTAAGTATGATTCAGAGTCTTGTAGTATTTTGTTCTGTGCCAATAACTTGCTGCTAGAGAACTTGGTGGTTAAAACAAACAAACAAACAAACAAACAAACAAACAAACAAAAAACCTTTTTTATTGGTTAAAAAGTCCATCTCACCCACTGGTTAGGTGATTAGTGTACTTATGTGGATGTCAAAGGAGGTTTGGCCTTCAGATCTGAGAATTAACTATAACTGGGGCCATAATTCATTCTCAGCTTACTTTTTAAGTTATTTTCATTTCTCCTAGGACAATGATAAGATACAAGATGCCAATAACATAGAGTCAATTGACTTATAGGAAAATTTTCTGTTAAATTCAGAAGTTATTATATACTACCAAGAAACCTCAAAATTAACTATTAAAATGACAATAGTATAAAGATCAAAATACTATATGATACTACATAAAGATTCTAAATTCGTATTTTGTTCCTGAAATAAGATGAGCATTGGTCTTTCAGTTTTCCTACTCAGTAGGTAACTTGGTTTGGAAAATAACAAGCTATGGTTACAACTTGTATTTATTACTCTCTGAGCACCAATAGTGCTCTCGGCACTATGTAAAATATAAAATGACTCTGTTATTCCCACTCTAAGGATTTATTTTTAGAGAGAAAATCTCAATTAAAATAACAGCAGCTCTAAGAAACTTCAATTTCAGACATAATACTCTAAAACAATTTTGCATCAATGTTTCTCCACTTTCTACTTTAAATGCACTTCTTGTTCACCAAGAGGACATATGAAGATGGTCACTCTCCGAGATGTCAAGAAAGGAGTTTTGTTTTTCAGGATAATTTGGAAAGAGTTACACATAGAAAGTTCATCAAAGTAGTCCTGGTGCCAAAGAAAACAGTTCTGGACACTGATTTGTGAAAGAAAATGCCTGCATTTCCTAAGTAAAAGGCATGTACAATTAGCATGTTGGAAAGAACACCAATTTCCATAATTCACTATACAACCTTTAATGCACAATGACTGCCAGGTATCAAAGAACATCAACATAGCTGTCATCCTCAAACAGATATTCATGTGCACATGGGTGCCATGCAAGTGAGAAGCCTGCTGTGTGTCACAGACATCTCACAGGGCTCGGGATGAAATGTGCACATAAAAGCTGCGCACCAACTCTACCAGCAAGCTGGACACCCGCCACTGTGTTTCCCAAACAGCAGGTCTTCCCACCAGTTATTCATCTCTTCCCGTCATTTTCCCATCTCATTTCATCACTCGGAATCCCTTTAATAACTTTCGTTCTCTAGTAATTCTCTACTAACTTTATTTATTAGGTATATCCTTTATATTTACGATGACTTTTAAATCTCTTCAGGCAAGACTGGTCTCTTCTTGACCCTTCCATTTTCTTTGACACTGCTCATCCCTCCTTTCTGTCTTCTCTTCATAGTTGGCTTCCAAAAACCTACTCCCTTTTCTTTGACACTTCTATCCATTGGTTATTATCTACTTGGGAAGTCAGCCCTTCCCCTTCACTCTTTCCAAACTGGTTTCAATCTAAAACTTTATTGCTAGAAAAATTCATATGCTGTCTCTACTTACTAATTACATTGTTGTAATATACTGTTATAGTGGTGTATTATTTTAAAACTCTATCTCTTTTGATTCTTAAAGCACTATAGTGATATAGACTGAGTAGATATCACAAGCCCCCATTTATGTAAGAATCTAAAAATCTTGTCCAAAACTGTGCTCATATTGCGTGAAAACCAAAATAAAAACCGTGTCTTCTAACTTGCCAAACTGGAAATCTGCCCACAACATCCCAGGGCTGTGAAAACTGGCATCCGATTTAGGGTGCTTAATCTCTCCTGTTTCCACCCACTTGTATTTTATGAGGAGCCAGGGCATCGACTTCACATCCCCTCCTTAGTACTTGCCGCCCTCCATCTGGTTATTCTGGGAGTTTGTCTTTCACGATATTTCAACCTTTCTGTCTTTCCCATGTATAAAAAACAAATGTCTTAGCGAAGCCAAGTTTTTTTTAATCTTAACTGTTATTTTCTTAAGCACACTCTGCCTTACCAGCTCTGTCAGTAAATTTTATTTTCTCACTCAGTATATTGATCATATCCTATTTTGTCCTGAAGCCTTTTATTGATTCTCTTACATTTTCCCTGTTCAGGTCAGTTGGGAGAGGCTGCCTCACACGAACCCCTCTATATGTAAAGGTTTATCTGAAGGACATTACAGCTCCAGTAATGAGATAAGCAAAGTAGGTATATTTTCCATGATGATGGCCGTTAGCAAAAAGTTTAGTTTGGGTTTATATGCCTCATCCCAAACCTGGATGTGGATCCCAAACTCCAGTGCACTGTTTTCTAGAGTGCTTTCAGTATTTTTATCAGTTAAGAGTTCCACTGTCAAGTTTTCCAGAAGCCTGGATTAAATAAACAGTTTTTATTAAGCCGCGTCTTTGAGAACTAGTGTTCCATGGAACGATATGAGAAACTGTGCACTTACATCTTAATATACAAATCAAGCTAGAAATCCAAAGACAGTTTCTCACAGGACTCCCAGAGCTTCCTGTTTCCCATCTTTCTGGAAACACTTTGAGAAGAGACATATATAGAATGTTGGCACTTTCTTCTAGTTAGAGGCAGAGGTGCACTTTAATGAAGAATAAAATAAACAAAGCTATCTCGGTCTTGAACCTCAGCAAAAGGTTCTAATTGAGTGTATACAGAGCCTCACTTAAAGTTTTTGGTTAACTTTTCCTCTGCTTTTCCACAGACCGCCTCCTCCAACATATCTTATTGGAAATATTTCAAATCATTGAACACATCTTGAAACTTTCACAGAATAAGCTCTGCCTTTCAAATTGTTTCCCACAATAGAGTTCTTAACATAGCAGCCAGTGAATTCACAGCGGTGACAGCAGCCTAAGCTCCGTGCGTGTAAATATAGCTCTCCGACAAGGAGGAAGATGTGAAAATATAGAAATCTTCTCATTTTATCTGTCTGAACCTACTGACAGATGTTTCCACTTTTTTAATTTTACTTCCAATATGCACAGTGTCAAGTTGTGTTGCAAAGATGAATTTTAAAAAGTGATTTCTCCTCCCATTCAAACAAGGGTATATAGTAAGTTCAGATTAAATTTATACTTTCAGTTTATACTTGTACAGAACAAATGTTCTATTAAAATATGAAGTTAAATATTATTGAAATTCAAATGAGGACAGAAGTATAGATTACGACAAGTGAACATTGGCAAACAAATGTTTTAAAGTTTGGGGTAAATCAGAATAAGTTAAATATGTTGTAGAAGCCAGAAATAAAGAAGAAGAAAAAAAAGATACTGATACACTTCATGAC